AGATCCATAAAACATCAGTAGGAGTCAAAATAGCACAAATAGAAGACAAGAAAATAAAATATGTATTATCAAGAACACCACAGAAAACCTGATTATGTGACTGTATGAAACTGTCTGTGGCTTTTCCACACCTTCAATATAGCGTGTGGTTCTTGTTCCCTCATGGGAAAAAGGCTGTATTAAAACCAAAACCATTCAGAAACAGGCAACTACAATGACCACAGCTACGGAACGGCTTCCACCCAAGGAACAATTTCCTTCTGTTCCCTTTGGTTCAGAAAGAGGTCATCTTAGTGTGTGAACGATATTAGTCAGTAAATCAAGAATGGACAAGACAGGCAGGCATCAGTTATGCACTGTCACTTCTAATACAAACATTAAGGCCATAAAATGAAGCTAGAAGAAGCAAGCCTCAAAGTGAGGTAAAGGAGAAGGTTCTTCATGAGCATGAAAAGTCCTGCCAAAGGATGTTGTTGTTGCAAATAGCTTAGAGGGGTACATGAGAAGATGAGACACTTACCTGGGAGAGAGATCTACTGAGAAGAAAAAGGATGCAAAAGTATAAAGTCAGTGGAAAGTCTTGCATATCTATCCTACACATATCTGCCAATGGCAGAGAATACTGTGGCAGGTGACCTTCATTTTGGACAACTGCTGCTGTGCGCTCTGTTGGGTGACACAATATACTCCGGCTGTTTGCTTTTGGATGAATCAAATGTCTCGTTTTTATACACCCTAACGAATAAAACCTGAAATTATTTCAAGAGCTCCTCTTCCCCACTGTGAGGATGGCAGCACAGACCCAGGAGGGACTTGACCTCATGCTTGGAACGTCTGGCAAACTACTTTGTACGGAGTTGATGATAATGAACCCAGCAGCTCCTTTTCCTGAGAAACAGGAGCTCACCATTCCAGTAGGAAATTCATGGATAAAATGTTCAGCCTTGCAAGAGAAAGCGAGAGAAACAAACTTCAAAATGAAAGGATCCCTATTTAGATATAAAAGCCATCTGAGTCAGTAAGCATGAAGCCTTTTAACTCTTCCACTTTGTGAACCTATGAAGAGGCTTTACCTAACCCTCAACAACTTGGTACTAGAATCACCATGCTGCTTCCTCATGAACCTCATTAAAATCCTTACCCTGCTGAGGAAGCTGAACATACACAGATACGCCACACAGATATTCCAGGGTAAATAACACGGAAAATGACAGATAGAGCAGAGTTAATGTCAGTTTTCCAACTGAGGAAAACCTCTGAGGGCGAAAAGGCTGCTATTGGAAACAAATTCATGACTGAATGTCAGTGAGACAACTTTCACAAGGGTTCTGCAATGCAAAATTAAAGTGAAGATATTGGCAGAGCTGCAGTCGCATAGCACCATATCAGGATACATCAAATGAAATATGTCTTACCTTTTTCAAGCTCTGGCTGTGCCTGGCCTGACAGGGAATTAGTGAGACATTTCTATCTGCTGACTTATTTATTACTGAGACACTCTTGTTATAATCTTTGAAATGTTGTTCACAGTTTTAGCCATTTTCTGACTTAAATTCAGTGACAGTCCTGCAAAAACATTCAGAACCAAATGGCCATAATATGTTCTGCAGACATACAAAATACCCTGAGGAGGGAGTTAATGGGAATGAACATAATAAGACTTTTTGAGGAAAGTAAGATGTGGTATATATTTTATCATAGCTGATTCTAACTCCCTGAAGGTTCTTTATGTGGGAAAAGTTTTTCTGTTTAAGTGGAAGTCGAGCTGAATTTGAAAGGCCATTCTGACTTTGTTATCTCCCTCCAAGAAGAGCATTGATAGAATTGTTCTATGCCATTTTGGTTTGGGGATTTTCTACCTTGACAGGGCTCCTCTAGATGCTGGATAATGTTCATTAGCAGATACTAACGCAGAAAAGAGGAATAGGAGCATTCAGATTTTGAGCCTTTCCTTTCAGGTCTCAGTTTCTGCTTCCGTAACACAACTTTTGTCACTTGTAGGTCAGCATCACTAAGGATTCAATTCAAATCCCAGTGAAATGAGTGGAACAGATCTTCAAATAGAGAATCTCAGGAAAGGCAGAACAGCTGAAAGGGAGTATCCCGTCTACCCACAACTGGAGTCCAACACAGTCTTCCCTTCCAACCCAAGGGAGATGCTAGGAACCCGTAATGCTGTTTCACAAAGACCAAGACCACCCTTTTCAGGGGCACTGTGGTTTCAGACTGGCTTACACAGGGCTAAAACACCACTTTCAATCCAAGCTTAGCACATCTTTAACTCTACCCCTAAAGCCTCTGGGACACTGAAAAGGCAGCCTTGCAACACTCATCTTTTCTTCCTTTTTATAGGGGACAATAACATGCGCAGGTGACAGAACACCACAGGGATCCAAAGCACTTCATGGAGGACAAGTCAATGTGGCCATGCAGTCACACAGCTATACTGTGCAAAGCCACTGGGTATTTTTGCTCAAGACAGCTTGGATGTATCTTTTTAAGCTCATTTGTAACATGCATTACTGACAGCTTCGCTACCTAGCTCATATCTATCACTCTTTTCACAGATGTGCCAATAGCCTGATCCTACAAATTCAGTCTAGAAAAATGCAGGACTCTCAGGGGTGTTTCCTGTGTGTTCTGTCTATCCTTCTACTTGCAGTGCATCAAATGAGCTCTACTATTCATAGCTTCATGTTCTACATCAGTCAAATGGAGAGCTAAGGTAGCTACGCTGGTTTAGCTTGCATGGTTTTGGGCACAGCATACACCTTTTAGGTCAGTCAAAGGTTTTGACATCCCAACCCGTGGTGCTTTATATAGTGAAAATACTGAGGTTCAAAAAAGAAGTATGTGGCTTAGAAACACGGTGAGCAGGCAGCAAGGTAAGTGCTCAGTGCTGCCTACAGACCCAACAGCCTGCATCAGCATCTCCTGCATGCACTATAAAATAAAGCCTGCTTCACCTTGGGCTTACACTGGTCTCTTTCCTACAGGCTTCATCTCTCTAGTTAGGGACCTGAAGAATGTAACCTCTGCATGGTAACATGCTAATTTCAAATGCCACAGGTTGGTATCACTCACCTCTGAGGTGAGGCCATGATTGAAAAGCACGAAGATAGTCCCCACGCTCTCAAATATAATGGGTGCCAGTAGAACCAGTAAGTATCATCATTGTGAGGATGGCAAGAAAAGCTTTCCTCTAAGAACCACAGGGTTTCCCAAATCTTCATGGGGTGTGCATCAAACACCCAGCTGCCTCTTTCTTGGGGGGCATCTAAGCACCTTCCTCTACAAATGCCTTTTTCCATCATAGAATGGCTTGGGTTGGAAAGGACCTTAAGATCATCAAGTTCCAAACCCCTGCAATGGGCATGGACACCTCACACTAGACCATGTCGCCCCAGGCTCCATCCAGCCTGGCCTTGAACACCATCACCCAGCATCCTGACAATCCCAACTCACCTCTGCAAAGCAGTCTCATTCATAACACCTCCAAAGCCCTAGGGCATCCAAACCTAGACACAAGCACATGGGTAGAGAAAGTGACAAGTACTCTGGGCAACCCATTCCAGTGCCTCACCACTCTCACAGTAAAGAACTTCTTCCTTATATCTAACCTGAATTTCCCCTGTTTAAGTTTGAACCCATTCCCCTTGTCCTATCACTACAGTCTTGTTTCCACAGAGTCACAGCAAGAAAGATGCAAAGTTCACAGGACAAGAAAGGAGACTGCAATGGGGAGATATATTCTCTGCACTGGCCTGAACACTCTTGAGGTCTGACTGAACCCAAGCAAATCCCTCCTTTGACCAGTGGATCACTTTGACATTATGACAGAGGTGACATTATATTCCAAGTCTTATATTCCATAGGGTTCTGAGAAGGGCAGCCTCCTTTCACTCTCTGCGTATGCTGCACAACATAAGGCAATACCTGCTGTTAGATTAACCTCTACATGCAAAGCTTACCAACTGTGCTGAGTTCTTTTCTCAGCATGTTCTTGTCCCGGCCAAGCCAGCTGGCACACACAGACTTACGGATACTGAAAGGGTGGGAGGAAGGGGAAAAACTTTGACAGAATTCTTCCCAGTTCTATATTGCAATGAATACACACAAGCTTTAGCTTTGTGTAATAACTGGATCTCAGCAGAAGCAGCACCCTCAGCCCTGCAGGAAGCGTGTTTCATCCAGCTCCAATTAAACTGCTGGGAGTCCATCGCGCACTGAACTCACAGAGCTTCAGGCAAAACTTCTCATGAGGCTGCAAAACAAATCCAACACCTGTCTGATACATTGCAAAACACCCTTATATGGATCTTCTCACTGTCATGACTACCCATCCCTTGTCTCTGTGAGAAGCTGCTGCAATTCTTCTGTGATCAGCTGCCAGTCAGGTGGATGCAACACAAAAACTATCACCATTTTAATACATGTTATTTCTCAAATAACAGACAGCTATGAAGAAACTGAACCTACTCACACATCTGTTGGAGAGCACCTGAAAAAATGGATGATGGGCTGGCTTCTCCTCCCATTGTGGTGGGTGACTGCAGCAGTATAACAAGATTGCTTTGCTCTGCAATGGCAAACCCACACTGCAGCACTCATCCTGTTTCTTTGGCCCACACCACCAGGCAAAGGGTCAAACCAAAGCTGCAGGACACCTAAAACCATGGGACCTCTTTGGAACTTCATGCTGATGTCCCATTGCTATAACTGCAAATACATATGTGTAATCATAAGCCTTTTCTTGGAGATGTACACTTCCAAAAAGTCATGCTGCAATGCAAACGTCTTTTTCTTACTCTCAGTTGCAACCTTCAGTACAACATACGCTGCCAATCTTGGAGATTTAACACAATGTTTTCAAGAGGTCTCTCACTAGATCTCACTAGAGATCTCTGACTAGATCCTCTACCCAGTTATGGTATGAATTAGCAAGGTTCCAAGGGGAAAAGCTAATCCCTTAAAGACCAAGCACTATGCTTCCTGCTTTCATGTTCCAAGCCTCTCAAATGGTTTCACTGCTCTGAAGAAGGAGTGAAGGGTGAAAGCCAAGCGAGCTGGAGTGTATCTGTCTTCAGACCTGGACAATCTCTAATGCACAGCAGACCCAGGGCACAATGCAAGATGCAGAAGGACACTTCCCATCCCCTCCAACAGGTTCAGGCCTGGCATCCTAGAACATACTATATGATAGAACGGTTTGGGTTGGAAGGAACCTTTAAAGTTCATCGAGCTCCAAGCCCCTGCCACGGGCAGGGACACCTTCCACTAGACCAGGTTGTTCCAAGCCCTGTCCAGCCTGGCCTTGAACACTGCCAGGGATGGGGCAGCCACAGCTTCTCTGGGCACCCTGTGCCAGCGCCTCAGCACCCTCAGAGGGAAGAGCTTCTTCCCAATATCTAATCCAAATCTTCCCTCTTTCATTAACATCTGCCCCAGGCATAAATAAAGATACCCAGTGCAGTGGAAATGGCTGGTTTCCTTCTGGTTTAGTGAAGCATTCCAGGAAACTTGTCTATACAGTTTCATCTGTCTTGTAGTAAGTTTCTTTTCACTAATGACTTAACCTATAGATGACAGTAAAAGCTTCATAAGCTCACATAATGCAGGCAGCCAGAGCCTTTCTCCACCCACCAAATGCTAGAGACTGATACAGTCATGGTCCCCTGTCTCCAAGACAGAGATCTTAATAATGGCAATTGCTAACAAACCTCCTGTAAAAAAATGCAAAGCACACAACCTCCAGCTGCACAGCTTCAGCTCTCATACACAGACAGCTTACCTCTTCAGGCTTGTACTGGAAACCTGGAGATCAGGTGCCTTGTGTTCATGCTCCATTACACTAGTGTAAATCAGAGTAAATCAAATCAAGCCCCAGCTGCACAAGTAGCAACACTGCTGCCTCCCTACTCTGCTCCACCTAACAAAGTTGGTTACCACCTGTGAAGCATTAAACATGCACATGGTTACCGGGTTGTTCCGGTATGGAACAGGAGGAGACAGAAGAATTGGTTTCCTGTGATTTATCTGGATGTCTTTCAAGTCTCCCCTCCTCGTTCTTAGATTTTCGCAGTGCTAATTCCTGATGGCAAAGCCTGTTTTCCAGCTTAAGGTGCCAGATGACAGGGTGTTAATTTTGCCTTGCTTACCCTTTGAAAATCATATTACATTCTGCTTCCCATACTGCATTGACTGCTTATAACCTGGCATTTGGCACAGGAGCTGATACCTGCAACAGGATGCTTTCCTGACTGAAGCAAGGACTTTACCCATAGTGCAGACAGCATTAGAAACAGGCCTTGTAAGGAACAGCAGGAACTCTTTGGTAGTCCATAGTAATGCTTGTAAGAAGATACTCAGCACTGAATAAAGAAATGATAATAAAAGATAATTTATGTGGGTGGTTTTTTAAAACCAGCGTATCCATGTGAGCTATAAAATGTGTTAAGGGACTGCAAATAGAATCCAAAGACATAGATGCGAATGCATACACAGTACGGGATGTGTAGGAAGTCTTCTGCACTTCTAGATGGGAAATGTAGGTATTAAACAGCAGAGGCCAGTCAAGACTCTCCAAGTCTTCAGCTTCCCTCCAGGTGAAGAATTTGGCCAGAGGCTGCTCTCACATGAAGGCAGCAAGCATGCTCTGTGTGCTTGGCCTCTGAATTCCAAGTGATAAGACAGTTAAATGGGTTCCTTCGGCTCTGTGAAACGGCTCAAATTAATTAATGTTTCAGTTTGCTTCTAATGCACAATAAGATGCATGCAGTGAGGAGTGAATTAAAGGAAAAAGTGCAAAGGACTAATGATGTTCACAAGGCTGTGCTGAAAAGCAGCAAGAGAAGAGATTATATAAGTGCCAGAATCATCTGAAAGACCTCTATTTTATAAGAGATTTTTTTTTACTCTTAACAGAAAACCCAAACACTGTGATTTGTCAAATAGTACCAATGAGCTACAAAATTCTTCTCAGGTAGCCTCTTGGCCATTAAAAACAGATAGTTGAAACCTAACAGAATTCAAGTTTGTTGGGAAAGAACTTACCACTAGTGCAGTATATCCCAAATACTGAGGTTTAACCTAGTCCAGAAAGCTGAAGTGATATTGCTACCACTAGAAGCAAGACTGGACACCACACATTCTCCCAGCGAATCATCTGTCACAGCTTGTAAAATTGAGGTCACAGCACAGAATCGTATCCTACGCTGGTTTGGGTTGGAAGGGACCTTAAATCTCATCCAGTTCCAACCCCTGCCACAGGCAGGAACACCTTCCACTAGACCAGGTTGCTCCAAGCTCCGTCCAGCCTGCCCTTGAACACTGCCAGGGATGGGGCAGCCACAGCTTCTCTGGGCACCCTGTGCCAGGGCCTCAGCACCCTCACAGGGAAGAGCTTCTGCCTAAGAGCTCATCTCAGTCTCCCCTCTGGCAGGTTAAAGCCATTCCCCTTGGCCTGGCCCTACAGGCCCTTGTCCAAAGCCCCTCTCCAGGTTTCTTGTAGCCCCTTTAGGCACTAGAAACTGCTCTAAGTTCTTCCTGGAGCCTTCTCCAGGCTCCAGACTGAACAACCTCAGTCCTGCATCTTCAAGTCCTATGCTTCTTTACAAGCAAGTTCAATTGCTTTCCATACATTACTGAATGAAGAGGGAAAAAAGCATATAAAAAAAGGGGGAAAGACACAAACACTCCCTCCCCCAGACAGTTGTCTGCGGTTAGACAGTCATGGGGTCTATACTTGCAGTTTCCTGGAGTTTCTCTTCTGGGAATGCACCCCGAGCAGCTCCCAGCACTTGCACTGTGCTAAAGCAGTTCATGGAAGTCACTCATCCCTGTCTCAAAGTTCAGGACCAGCAGCTCACTTCCATCCTCCTCAAGCTGCGCACCTCCCAGCACACAGCCAGCCTGAAATCTTATTTTCTCTTGCTTTCCATGACTGTTTTCCCTGGCTGCCCCTGTTATACCTTTAAACAGCTCCCTGGGTGCCTCTGATACAGCCATCAGCTCCATCACACTCCTTCCGTTTTCCCCAGGATCAGGCCCTTTTGTGCTCAAAGCAGGGAAACGTGTGACACACAATCAGACTGCTGCACTCTTCAGATTTCACTGCAATTTTTGGCAAGTCTTCTGCTTGTATCTCAACTCTATGGCTATCATGACATCAGCTCTCTTCAACCCATTAGCAAGCTTGTCAATAGTGTTGTCACAGCCAATGTGCAATGAAATAGAAATTAAAGTTTATCAGCCTTTCCACTAGCAGCACCTCACTAAGACATAAAAATTCACAATCCCTGTTGTAAGAGCAGCACTAAAAGCGTCCCTTCCATGACCTTGAGGTTTTATCACAAGGCAACAAAACAAACCTTTGGGAAACCTTTGGGGGAAAGGTTAGGAATAAATAACATGTATTTCTAGGGAGGGGGTCTACATGGATCACACACAGACACTCCCCCTGTGCTAATGCCAGCTTAATCTTTAATGTATGCTTTAGTTGCAGCAGAACCCCTTTTTATTATTAATAAAGGCTTATTTTTATTGCTGCATATTCTGCAGCCTCCAGACCACATCCAGGACACTATAAAAACACATCAGAGTACCCTTGACAAACATGTTCTGTGAGATGGTTCCTCTCTGCCCTGAGGCATGACTAAGCTAAATAGTGTGGAAGGAAAGCGTTATTCCCACATTCATTCTGAGTGATGAGGGTCTGAATTCTCCTCCTTATTTCTATGGAAATTGCATATGGAATTATTCATTCTTGGTCACCTAGAAAGCCACTAGCAGAAGCAGAACCCAGATTTAATTCTAATCCCCCTTCCTTTCATGCTCATCTTTTAAGATTCAGATTATATCTATCACAAATATGTGACAAGAACATGCCAAAATAACACAGACTTCTCCCTTCATTAAAGAGAAGGGAAACCAGACACTGAATAGATTCAGCGACTTGCAATACTTCACAAATGCAAGATCCCCTTAGAACTTCCCAAGGGATTTGCCCCCAGGAGCCCTGTGGATGTTCCCCAGAGAGGTCTCTGCGGGGGGGGCTCTGTGGAGCACTGCTAGCTCTCTCCAGTTTGCCATCCTGTGTGGTGGCCACTGTACTTGGTGACACCTCACCAGCCCACAGTGACTGTGTACCAGTGGTGCTGGAGCTTTGTGGCACTGGAAGATACCCTGGTGCTCTGTGCTACCTGCCATGGGGAGCTCTCCTGGCATTTGAAACGAAACAGCATTATCTGGGTAAGCAAAACCCACACTCTGTGGGGTCTTGCCTACCCTTTGTGCTGGTTTTATTGTTGAATGCCAAGATCAGGACCCCACCATCCCCACTTGCCTCCTAGATTAGTTTCACTTGTACTTGAGCATTTTTTATTGCGTATGTGGTTGGTTTAGCCTTTCTTGGGGTACTCTGACCACCTTGCTCTTTAAAGGCACTTCCTTAGGGTTGGCTTTTTCTCTGCTTAAAACCTCTCTAGTATACCAGAACTGCAAGACCACCAGTGGCAAGCTTGGGGAAGTTAGCTATCCCCTTTATCTGGTAAGTCAAAACCACACAAACCCACTTAAATGCACACAGTCTTGTTTTGTTCAGGATCACAAAAATAATAAGTTTTCAATGCCCTCTTCACTCTCCAGGCATTGACTCCACTCTCATGCATTTTTCTGAAGCAGAGAATAAACAGACTTCATGTTTAGTCCTTCACCTTGGCTTGGATGGCCAGCTCAGTACACAGACCCAGTGATTGCTTCCCCTGTTGCCTGGCTTAGGCAAAAGTCTTGGTCAGGAGCTACATCTCTACCAGCACCATGGAGATGCTTCCATCCTCTTTCTAGTGCATGATGCTCCTCCCTCTGGGTTCTTGTAGGTTACAATATGAAACAGCACCATGTAAGCAAATGCACCTTCAAACCACAAGAACCATGTTTCAGTCTTAAATATGTCATTCATCTAAGCAATAAAGCATTTAATATATGCTTGCAATTCTGAATGGAAACACGGGCCTCACTCCACCAAGGCATCTTCATCCTTTATATGATTTAGAGCATACAAATATTCCCTCTTTACATCATCCTATGGGACTAATCCCAAACTGGTCATCAGAAGAAAAATCATCAAGTAGCTGATGATAAAACACACAATTCACCAAAATCAAACCGAGGAGAGTTCAAGCC